AAAAAAAAAAAAAAAACCATAATAATACTTTCCTGTCTTACTGGTTTGATCTAAGGATAAATGTATCAACAGTGGCATGGGCTCAGGTATGGCAATAATAGGGACCATATCAGAAGCCATAGAAATGTAACATCTTTTTCTGTTTGAATCTATAGATAATTGCTACATCCACTGCTTGCTACTATGCTGATCTGGAATACGTCTATGGCATAGAAGTTGTGGGAAACATTCCTAAAGGGTAATGTGGGTTTTATTATTTTGTGGCTTTTAAATATCTTTATTTTTGAGAACAGCCTCTGAAAAGGTCAGAGAAGTTCCYGAAATAAGAAATGGTAAAAATCTATTTTGTTTGTTTCCATCTCCTCCAATACTCTCACACAACTCAATCCCATGTTAACAAATTATATCTGTAGAGATATCATTGCAAAAATGCATTGTTGTAAATTTTCATAGATTATTCCTCTTTGGAATAACAACTAGGTAYTAAGTACTTGATGATGTATGACAGGAAGGCAGGACACTCTTTACAAGATTAGTGCAACTGCTTTTTGAGGGTTATTGTAGCAGAAAGGATTTACAATTAGATAAGATTTGTAGATCACTACACTTCATTCCTCCCCTCCCATACAGTAATTTTAGAAAATGTGGTTTCCGAGGAAATGTTAAAGATTTATTTATGCTTAATCTAGAAAAGAACATTTTGATTAGAGTTAGTGATACTCTTTTCTTCACGACCTTGAAAAGAAGGCCAAAAAAAAATCAGTATAATTAGCTGGAAAGATAAATTAGATTGTTTGTCAGACAAAATGTTCAAACTCTACAGGTTGGTATGGAAGAGCACAGCTGCTGTGATATCTCCTGCTTGGATATAGCAGGGTTTCCCTAAATTTCACAAAGTACAAGTCCAGTACTTCCTGAGTGCATATGTGGCATGTGTGACAGCTTGCACTAAGAGAAATAAAATAAGGGATATTTCTTATGTTCTTATGAGAAAGAAAATTGTGTTTAAATATTTAGAATATGCTATGAATCTGACACTAAACCAGGGCTAAGTGTGTTCCTTTTATGTGTAATAAATAGGCAAACTGTATTTCTGCAGCTTTAATCGGGAATTTATTTTCTGTCAAACCTCATACAAGCTGTGTTGAAAAACAGAAGCAGAGCCTGGATCATTTCTGCTTATTTTTAGGCATTTACCTAATATAATATACCTAACTCCCTTGTCAATGGAGAGCATCAGAAACTTAAGAGCACAATTTGGTTTTCAGACAGTGTGATTTGTGCTCTGGARAGGCCAAAGTCTTTTTGCAGAGTTCAGAGACAATCTGGGGTGGTTTGGTTCTTAACTGAGTTATTTCATTACCATTCCCATTAGATGGAATAAATGTCTCTACTGTCTGTAACTGACAGGAATGCAAAATTTTTAAAGATTTAAATTTAACTTTACAGGAAAGCCAACTATATTTAAAAAAGGAGAAAATACCCAGTAATGACTTCTACTGAACATTACAAAATCAGTGAATAGTTGCTAATTTTGCCTGTCATGGAGTTAATTTATCAAATCTCTTTTTAACTTCTCAAGTTGAAGTATTCAGATTGAGCACTCCACCTGAAACTGTTCCATCTACAAATTCTCTTTTGCTGTTCCCAACAGACTGAGATCTTATTAATTTAAAATTTTGAAAAATATCACCTTATAAGTAACACAAAAATCAGCTGTTCCTGCAGAGATTGTTTCTCTTGTGTTWGCATGAATTGCAGGTATGTAGAGACAATGTATAAAGTTTTGCAAAAATTGCTCTCTATTTTTTATAGGTTGCCTTCACCAAAACCACCATCCATGAGTGTCCTGCCTGAAGTAGTCACTGAAGCTTTTGGGGTRGCACTGGTTGGTTATGTAGCCTCACTAGCTCTTGCTCAAGGTTCTGCTAAAAAGTTTAAATACACTGTGGATGACAACCAGGTAAAGCTCTTTCTCCCTAGTGTCAGTGAGCCTTGAAATCACTTCATTGTTTGGGGAAGGTATTATAGATGAATGCCCAGCAGRAAAAGTTATGCTCCCTATAGCATCCTGACACCTTCGAGTGTTTACACCCAAATCTTGTTCAAATGATCACTGCAGAATGCCCTCATTGGTTGAACTACTCCTTTTGGGAAATCTCATCCTTCAGGATAGCTTTGTAATGTTATATTCAGGGCAGCATTTGGGTATGAATGCATTTTCTGCTGCTCTAAGATGAGACAGCTTCTCCCCTGGCAGTTGAGCTCCTATATACAAGTTAGGATGTTAAATCAGCCACCAATTARTGAAACAAAGCAATTCTAAAACAAAACCAGTTACCTATAGTCCCAGGATTTATGTTTTGTTATAAAAGGAAGTTGTTTATACTTTTGCAAAGTAGAAATCCCACACAAAATAGAGGTTTATTTATATATCAGAAGCAGGATGAGTTCAGAGAGTGCTGCCAAATTTACAACCATAGGAGCTTTCTGTTCAGAGTTCTACTTTGCAGAAGACATGCTTAAATAAAAGTTGTCCATTTCTACACTACTATGTTGCTTGTCATGGCGGGTGGGTAACTCCAAGCCAACTGGAAATCCATGGAGACAATAATTCAAGCACTGTGGTAAGAAACACTCAATTTCAGAAAACTGAGTAATTCTGTGTGCTGAAAATGCTGCCTCCACCTTTCTGTTAAGTGGTTTRGGATGAATAACATAGAGTTGAATGAAGAACAGTTGTTTTGCAGCTGGAGGTCTATTTGAGCACCCTATTTAGACAGGTCGGTCTTGCTATATCAGTTCCTGTCCTTCACAACTCTTATGTCATTGGCAGATATAAGGGGAACATTCTTGTCTAGTCAGGTCTCCAAAATATTCCTTGGTTTGAATCCACTGGGCCATGAATTTCTGTTGATGCTTCAGAGCCACGTTTCTGTGGAGCAGAGGGASAATGCTTTGAGTTTAGCGCAGGTCAGGCTGCAGGGTGACATTCTGCTTTGTTTCAAGGCATTCCAAGGAGCACAGCAGCCTGTGAGCCTTTCTGCACCTTTGGAAGTCTTGTGGCTTACACAGCTTCATTACTGAAGTCTTGGAAACTCTGTGTATGTCTGCATGGAATAATAGAGCAAAAGAGCAAACTGTGAGAGGAGAGCAGTGAGGTGGTGTGGCCTTTAGGGGCCAGGCACAGTGCTTGGCATGGGGCTCRTGGCTGTGTGAGGCTGCCTGGAGAGCTTTAAGTTTGTGAAGACAAACTCATGAGCTGGTGTTTTCCTGGCTGGATACAGCCCCTTTTGTGTCCTGAGCACTTATGGGGTTTTTTCCTGCACAGTTTCCTCATCAAACCAGTATGTTCCTTACAGCCTGGGGAAGAAGACTGATGCTGGGTGATGAAGTTGGGACACTTAGAAAAACTGTTGATCTTAGGCTGCACACACAAGGTGTCTTCTCCACTCTCTTCTAAGAATGTTTGTTCAGACATGGGTGCATTTTGACTGTGAACAAACACCAAATACATTGGTGATCATTGGTGATGAGATATGGCAGCATCCATATAGTATGGCTACCATACTTCACTTTCATTGAAACATTCCCTAAAAGAAGAGAAATCAGTGYCTGTCTTTCCAGTAGAGTCATAAACCAGAAACCATCTGGACAGTTTCCAGGTACCACCACTTGGGGCTCTGGCCAGTTAAAGAGCAGATGTGGATCAAGATGTAAATATTTGGTTGAACTTCATCTTCAAAACTTAGCAATAGCATTTTTTCTGTGAACAAAATGTCCCTCCTGTTTTTGATTAATCCGTTCAAAAACTATCATTCAAATTAGTTCTGAGTTGTGAGAAGATATARTCTGTTGGGAAATCTTTTGTCTTGTACCTGTGGGAATTTTTTCCCTCAAAAATGTGTCCATCCTTTATCATTGCTAATATTTGCCTAGGGGATTCCTTTGTTGGCAAGAGGCATTGAAATGACAGAAYGATAGGAAAAAACATCTTCTATTTAACAACTTTGCAGGAATTTTTGGCTCATGGCCTCAGCAACGTGATTCCTTCATTTTTCTTTTGCATACCAAGTGCTGCAGCGATGGGACGGACGGCACTTTTATACAGCACGGGCGCCAAAACGCAGGTAATGGGTTAGAGCGAAGCACGTCGGAGAATTAAAGCTGGGATACTGCTCACTGGAATTCATACTGATTTATCACTGGGATTTATACTGATTTATCCACTGTATCTCCCCAGCCTCCCTTTTCCTCTGCCCTGGGAATGACTCTGCCCTGTCATTTTTAACRATCTGTGTGAAATTGCATCTGATTAGTGATGTCTTCCTGGGAAAGATAATGATTCTGCTTACTAATCTTTATCTGTTTCATTCAATAGAATCTATAGGGTCTGTGGCAGCAATGAAGTTARGAATTGTGTTTTCAGACTGCAGAAAACTACATAAAAGGCCTTTCAGTTTATGTGAATTTGTCAGCATTGTAACRAAAGTGCCCTCTAATGGTGTTTAATGGATTTAATGGTACAGTCTAAACTGAAGTTCTGGGGGGAAAAAAATCACATTTAATTTAGTGCTTCTATCTGATTTCCAAAATAAAATGAAAGTAACCTTTAGAGTTGTTTGTTAAAAAAACACAAGTAATCTCCCAGCTTCTGCCTTGTGACATGGTGTACTTGTCMTATCCCTCAGTGTACACTGAGCCCACAGAGATGACATTTAGATTTTTAAGGATTTTTTTTGGCTATTTCCTACTGTAGGAAACTAAACCCACAAGTTCTTATTACAGTGGCTCAGGAAAGGGAGAGCTGTAATTGCTGAGAATGATAACTGTGACCCYGCCAGCCTGTCATCTGTCCAAATTGTGCTCATGAACAAGAGGTGGCAAACACCTGAGGCACCCCCACAGCACTGCCTCTACCTCTGAAACTCAAGGGCCCTTCAGTGGCAATAAATGTTATATCCTTTGGGGTTTGTTGCTATTCTCCCAGACAATAAGTGACAGTACAAGAGGAAATGTCACCAAGTTGAGCCAGGGGAGGTTTAGATTACATAGCAAGATTTTTTTATTTTATTTTTTTTTCCATGAAAAGGGCTGTAAAGTATTGGAGCAAACTGCCCAGAGTAAAGGCAGAGTCACCATCCCTGCAAGTTTCCAAAAAAAAATGTGTGGATATGGCACTTGAGAACATGGTAAATGTGGTGATGGTGCTGGGTTGATGGTTGGACTTGATGATCTTAAAAGTCTCTTCCAACCTTAACAATTCCATGATTCAGTGATTCTATCAGCATTTTGTAGCTGTTGCTCTTTCCTGTTTAAAGGACATCAGCTGCAAGGAAAAGGGTCATGAGGTCCAAGGCTAAGTACAATCCAGAGGTGCTGCTTCTCCTCTGCCCTGCCCTGCAATTATTTCTCATGCAAATGCCACAATACTGAGGAAATATTTAGGGCTTTACTCAGTAGTCTGCATATTAATTACTTGCTAAATAGCCTATAGAGTACTCTAAACTTAATTAATCATAATGAATAATCTAACAGATAAGAATMTTGAAAAGCATTTATATGCAATTATTTTAGCTACCACTTTGTTATCATTTATTTCATATATTTTAGTTGGATTTGATGTCATTCCATGTGCCATCATCCTCACAGACATTCTCTTCTGTAACCTGTTAATGTATTGACTGTACAGTTTGCAGTTGTACTGCATTATGTTGAACTGATTTGAGGGAACCTGAAGACCTGCACCTGCAGACCTATAACCTGAGGGCATGAAGGGTATTTGAGCACTTTTGCCTCTGGTACATGCAAGCATAGACCCTGATAAATGGTTATTTAATACATGGAGTGGAAAAAGAAGCCACTATAATTTCATTTCAAGATAGCAAACACACAGTAAAAATCTGCTTGGTTTAGCCATTGGTTTCACAGTGTAGCTGTGCCTGTGTCTAAAAGTTAGAGTATGGCTATGAGTTACACTACGAGAGTATTTTAATAGCCATAACAATCTCTCTCCTGCTTTCTTGGAAAGCAACACATGAGCTTAATCCTCTCCTTTGTGGCTGTCTRTGCAGAACAAAGAGATGAGAAGATCATCACTTATAAATATTAGTCATGTCCTAGGCAAAAAGAAGCCTTGCYTTAATTACATAGAGGGAAGTCAGTTTGCCACAGGGCATGGAAGAAATGTGGAGCCTTTCAGTGACACAGAGCAGCACTTTTTTCTCAAATGGCTATACCTGGGTTGCAGATTTGTCATTTGTTCCTCAGTGATATGTTTTTCTGTGCGAAAACAGAAGTGAGGAACTCTATCATGGACTAGAAGTGTCCTTCAAATRGAATCAACACTTCTTTTCTTGCACTTCATAAAGGCAGAAAGGGAAAAGTTCCTTGTGATCCTACCAGCAGATTTTCTGTCCCTTTTTCTGTAAAYACTCTGTCTATCCTTCTTGATGGTATTTTTAAGTACACTATGACTTTAATTTTCTAGTGTTTTAACAACTTGTCTGGTTTTGTTTTTAACAACTTGTCTCTTAAAATGAAACCTAATTATTTTAGTAAAGAAACATATTATCAATATAAAAATAAAGTGAGCATCTGTCTACTTATCGTCAAAAASCTTCTGTGAATCTGAACTGTATATTTATAAGACCAGAAGAACTCCATGAGCACTCAAAGCTGAATAGGACAGTGCAATTTCACTGTAGTTTTCCATCAGATTAATACCATAAATACTGTGAAGAATTACATAATTATTAGACCATATTTTYCCGAATTCATATTACTTTTATTAATTATAATTTTAATTTATTTTTAATTGTGCTTACATTTAAAGTAAATCCACTGATTTTTACTTACATTTTACTGACATCTAAAGTAAATCCACTGATATTAACAGGAAATGCTAGTGGTTTCTGATTTAACACAATAGTTTTCTTTTAGTGCTAATCCCAGTAAAAGAAGTTAGGAGTCCTTTCTTGTGCAAAAAGTGGTAACATACATAATTCTTGCTTAGTGCTATGACAGATCTGCCACATAGGGTGCATGGCTATAAATAAGTTGCAGAATGACAGTGGRTGCTGAGAAAGTTCTGGGATTGCACACACACGTTCCATTTAATAACCAAGTGTGTAAGTGCTGCTCTGCTCTGTGTCAGTGTGCTGGCAGCACGGTGAAGCTCAGAGCTGTCACTACGTTTTCACTGTAGTTGATTAAAGGTAATCATCAGAGATTARAACTGAAATTAAATGCATCTGCAGTCCACATTAATAGCTAACACCTTCAACATCTGATTCTTGACTTAGTCTATACATTTTGTAATTTATCATTTTCACAATTTCTTTTGTCAGTTTTGTTGTTGTTGTTAGACTGAATTATCTGCAATTTTTGTTTATTGTTTTAGGTGGCCTGCCTTATCTCCTGTGTTTTAATTCTTGTGGTGATCTATGCAATTGTCCCTCTGCTGTACTGGCTTCCTATGGTATGGTAATTATCCCTTTTAAAGATTAAGATGTCAAACATTTTCTAGCGACAATTTCTTTCAGGGAAATATTGTGCAACCTCTGAAACAGCTCTATTTAATTTTGGTGGCCAAAAATATASTAAGGGCCTGACAAACTTCAAAATCGTAAAACAAAGAGGTGACAGCATAAGACATATATATTTCACTCATATATAKTTACATATATAGGCTATCATGTAAGTATATAAAAGTGAATTTCTCTGCTCCTTACTTTTGGCATGTAGTTTATGAAAAATATACATCCAGGTTGCTGTGGATTTTTAAATTGACTGTGTTGTGGAAATTAATGAAGATTCRTGATATTTCTCCAGATATACATGTGATATACAACTTTGCTTTTCAAATAWATTCAACACAAATTATTTTAGATGGTGATATAAGCGTAATTGCAGAAAGATTATGAATTATTCTTATAACTCTGTCATGGAATACATCTACGCTAAGACTCTATAAAGCAGTGTGGCACCTTTTCACATAAGCTATATCCATCTTTTGGTATTACAAACTAATAGTTAATTTTAACTAGAGGCATGTCAACGCTGCAAAATACAGCTCCAAAATTATCCACACTTCTGCCAYGTATGTACATGAAGTTTTAACTTAACTATGTTTTAAAATTACTTTGTGCTATTGTTTACATGGTGTCATGAAAGTTCTCACTTTTCAAACACAGATCCTTTTATAGCTTATTTTAACCATGCAAAGTAAGGACACTTGAAGAAGGGTGCACAATATGTCCTGGGTTTTTTGCTATACTTCTTCCCTACTTTCCTTTTTTTTTTTTTTTTTTTTTTTTTTTTTTTTTTTTTTTTTTTTTTTTTTTTTTTTTTTTTTTTTTTTTTTTTTTTTTTTTTTTTTTTTNATTATATGTAAATTTTGACTGGTTTCCTGCAGGCTTTTTTACCCATATTTTGAAAATATTTTTTGTTTTTTGCTTTCTTGATAATTTATTTCTCTTCTAATATGCCTTTTCAGTCCAGTTATGCAATGCAAGTCTATCAGTTTGTACTCCARTCTTTTTGGTTCTAGATGATTTCTTCATCGATCTTCTCCTCCTATCTGATTCAAAATAAAAAAAAAAAAAATTATTTTGTTTGCTTCAAAATTAATGGTCTTTTGCCCTAGAGGCCTTCTCTTGGGGAAGGGGAGGAAGTGAGGAAGGCTGTTAAATTCTTCCCTGTGTAGAAGTTGAGTTCTGATCTGCTTTTGAATCCTTCAGACTGTGGCAGAATGTATTTGGTCTGGTGWTGCATGGAAGAGTCTTGGGTAGTCCTGAGGTTTCTGTCGTTTTTCTCACAATTAGGGGGCCTTCAAATTGCCTTCACAAAAAAAATAAGGGGGTGGGGAGGTTGATGCTGTTAGGACACATGCCCTTATCTCATTTTCTAAGCACTAACCAGTTTTTATTTGATATTTTAATTATGATATCGAGTGCTAAATTAAAGAAACAGCATTTCTTTTCACTAACAATTCTGCAAATGTTTCTATGTCTTTGCAGTGTGTGTTAGCAAGCATTATTGTTGTGGGTTTGAAGGGGATGCTAATGCAGTTCCGTGACTTAAAAAAATACTGGAAAGTGGATAAAATAGACTGGGTAAGTAAAACTTAATCTAAGGAGGTTTTCCTGAGACCTTTTTGCAAATACCTGTCAAATAAACTTTAACAGCTCTGTGGCCCCAGAAGAGATAAGTGCAAGTTATTATTAGTAGTATTTTTTGTGTACTATCAGCTCAGAGTAACAACATCYGTAATATCAGTTGTATTAAAAAATGACATTTTAGCAAATGAAAAAGAATCAAACCTAATGCTGGAGATGTGTTTTCAGACAGATCAAGTTAATGTGAGCAAATATGTGTCTATTTTTATGTCTTCYCTATCTGTTTAACGTGCTTTTGCTGTTGTAGCATTATTGAAGAGATTCTGGTATCTTTGTCCTCTGGGAATATGGAATGACCATGCAGGTCAAACAGAACTGGAAACATTAGTGATACAGATGTTGAGGGGTGTCGTAGGTAAATTGCCTTAATCCTTTCAGATTTTGCAAACAGAATAACTATTGTTTGAACATAGTGAAAAATTCTGCATTATGAGAGGAGAAATACATCAGAAAAAGTAGATAGGTGAAAAGAGACAGTCAGAAAATCCAGTTTAATGCAAAGTYGAAGTAGTCTGACAGAATTCGTTCACACAGAATTCCTAGCAARTATTAAGGAAGGATCCTTGTGTAAGAAGCCTCCTTGATTTCTCTTCTGTGGAAGATTTTGGATGTATTGGCCATTTAGTGGAACCAACATTTCAATGCACCCACACAAACATATACATGCTGACAAATACATGCTGTATGTTTGAGTTAACAATATCCAGAAAGGTACTTYGGCCATATCGTCCTTTTCTATGGTGGGAAATACAGGTAATTGGAGTTAATATTGGACTTCGTTGAATTGGCCAGTGACTTGGTATTCTACAGCAGTAATTATTAAGTCTAGACTGAATAAAACYTTTTTTAATGGTGTATTGGACTTCAAAATTGAAAACAGAGATGAGTAAATTACATCAAGTTTGACTGTGAGATTTTTTGCACTTAGTTGCAGAAAACTAGAGGTGAAGAAAACTTGCTTTTGATTTTTTTTTATTACCCAGAAGAAAAGCTATAGTTTTCATGAAATCTTGTGCTCCTCAAGCAGTAAAATTCTGAAAATATTTTCTATCCCTTGTAYTGTGTTTGATCTTCAGCTTAACCCATATTGCCAGTGACAGAAATGGTGGGTGGTGGGGATCAAGAATTATTTTGGGAACAATGCACTTAAAAACATTGGTAGTTATGGTAGAGAGATATATCTTCTCATCAGTTCATTGAGATAATCAGCTACATTTTCCATCAGAATATTCTGGAATCTCACTAGATTTGATGCATCTTCACAGGCAGACGAGTCTGATTGATTTTTACTTTTCTGGCTTTGGTAGAAAAGACAGTGTGAGTAGTTAGTTATTACATTGCTGACATCTGTCATCATTTCTAAGAGAGGTTATAGAATGGAGGAGTTCGCTGGGTTCATCTTTTTGACTAAACATATCTGAGCAATGATTTATTTTCCAGTAGTTTTACCAGCAGTCCTTAGCTTGACAGGATAAATGATTTCACTTTAAATAGCACAGTTTAAAGTGAGGATRTAAACATTGATCTTGCATTGCTGCCTGCTCTGAGGAGCCCCACCAAACCCAGTGGTTTGTGTAACACTGGTGTTATTTTGGCCTGAAAAGATTCACCCCAGCAAAYGACAGAACACTGGAAATGAATCATTCCATCACCCAGGTTATCCAAAGTGTTTTGAAGATAGAAACCCTAACAAAACATTTGGAAATAGTTACCAGTTGTCCTTTCTGGAMCTGATTCTTTGAAGGGTGTGTGTAGCACTGAAGTCAGGTTTGCTTTGCTTGTAAGCCTGGCAAATGATAATGCATGGAAATGGAATATTATGGAGTTTGTTACCTTGTTCCTTCACACTTCTTTAAACAACTCATTAAACACAAGTGTGATGAATAATATTTATTTGTTGATTAGTTCTTTATAAATATAATCCTTTTAAATGTAGAAGGCAAGATACTGCTCAGGAATTGGACTGGACTGCTGAAGAAAAAWGTTCCTTTTGCTGTTAAGAGTAGAACTTGAAAGTAACCAAAAATAGGGGGGAAACATTGCAGAAGGCGATGCTCTAAATGAAAAATTATAATAGAATAAGGATCATTTTAAYGAGTTAATTTTATAGCAGGGATTTGGGAAGTTCAGCAATGAAATATTCTGGCATTTAAAAAGAAAAAAATGGTTTAAAATTTGCACATATGTCTTGACCAGAAAATGACCACAGTTGAGACAAAGCCAGGTTGCATGCCTGACTTGTAAAGCAGGAGGAATGGCAAGAATTTATGGTAAAAATTACRCATTCCCTCTGTGGTGTTGTGATGAGAGGCAGCTATGGATGCACATGCAATTGTAATTGTATGCACATATATTAATATTTAAGGATGTAAAGGATGCTACTAATTCAGCAATTAAAGTAGATCCAAAAATGGTCACTTTTGACAAGTATGCTCCAAGATCTTGTCATTGTGAATTTCTGAGACATGCATCCAACACCCTGTCAATCTATTTTGTCAATCTATTTAAAGGAGAGGGTCTAGGAAGGGTCTTCCTTGAAATTATGGAGTTCATTAGTGAATTTCTTGGATTTTTTAGAACTTCACATATTATCCTCAGGAGGAAGATGGCCTTTTAAATTTGTTCATCACACATGGGTCCTGATTCATGAGAGGGGACTGAGAGCTCTCAGGGCTCTGCTGTGTAAACAATTTTCCACGAAGTAGGAAACCATCTCTTCTGTGAGAATAATTTTACATCAATGCCTCGAGCTTATGACATCCTATGGAGATTTTCTATTTTTCCTGCATTAATGAATATGCTAGTGTGAGTTTTATTACTTGTGCTGTAGCTAGTCTCAGTGGGGTGGGAAGGAATTTACAAATGCTTAATCCATTGAAAGTATCATTACCATATAAATTGTTTTTTAAGAGTAATATTTTTATCATCCCTCTCTTTGCGGGCCTGTTTGCAAAAACATTCTGTTGTGTATGGAATGCTGTGAAAAATTATATTAAAGAACTACCACATCACTTTATTATMATCTACATTGGAAAAGACTTTTAAAGACCATCTAATCCAGTAAATTACTGTTAATCCAACACTGCCAGATCTATCCCTAAACCACATCCCTAAGTGCATTAAGCAGTTCCTGCACCATGGCTGTGGTGGTCTTCACTCGAATCCTAAGTTTGGATCAAGGATGTGCTGAGAATGAATGCACACAGGATGTGGGAACATGGCCATGTCACTCAGTCCTTAGAGCCAGAGCCTCCTCCAGSGCTCCAGCATCTTTCCAGGACATTATTGGGGTCCTTCTTTTGGCTGTGTGCTGGTGACTGCAACATGGGTCTCTATTTGAGCAACTCATCCCTGCCTCACGTTATGCACAGTACAGACCTGGTCAGCTGAGCCGTGTTCATCTCTCCCTCCATTAAACAACAGCACAACCAYGTAGGAGTTAGATGAACTGCATCCTACATTTTCTTCATCTGATAACCAAATTCATTTATTATGGTGGGAAACTAGACATCTGCGCTGCAAATAAAGTTCAAGGAACCCTAACCATTCAGGTGATACTAGCTATCTCCTCAGTTTGCAATGAAAAAGGAAAGTGCATAACACCAGTTTCAAACTGGTACAGAAACATTTATTGTCACCATACCTTAGCATTGTATTGTTTAGCCCTTGCTTCACAAAATAGTCTATACTTATTTTTATGATTTTTTCCTACCAAGTCCTGATTTTAGACTCTCATCAATGGTGGTTGATTAGACTCTGTGAAATGGAAATCTAGATGGAGGCAGCTGCTCTACAGTCACTGTACCTCCCAGTGCTTCTGATACTTTCTGATAGATACAGGAGTTAACATAAATCAATTTATTCAGCTTGTTTCTTTTCTCCCTCTTTAGAATTTTTCTTTAAATTAGTACAGTACAAGGATACTTTGAAGGTGGATTTTGTTTTGATTTTTGATATTAACRTGTGCCTATATTGCTAAGATTTGAAGAGTGATTAGATTCTAGCTGTCCTGGAGTATGCAATAACCATTTTGAAGTAAGTTGCCAAGGAAAACTTTGATACTTTTATGACTTTGTTGAACTTTGCAATAACCCATTAATTTTTTGAAAAAAAGTCTATCAGATCAACATCTTTCTGCAAGTTTGATGCTACCGTAATTAAAGAAGTATTGACTCCAGGCCAATACAAAGCACTGAAAGGCTGATTKACTAATGAGAATATGATTGTTTTGGCTCAGCCTCTACAACAATGGCAGTCTCTGATTACAGTTAAGATGTAAGATACTAAGCTAATGGAGAGGCACTTAACTAGCTTTCTCAGTATTCAGCAGTACTTAAACATTTTTGGCTTTGATTCTTCCCAGATGCAGACTTTGTACTGGGTTTTTCTGCTTTCTGTTTTCTYCTGAGACATAAGAATTTTGCAGGTCTGCAGCAGTGATTTAGTTAGATGTGAAGAAGTTCAGGTGAACTGGATTGCCCTGAAGTGGATACAGGTGTTGCCAAGGGTTCAGCCTTATTGAGATAGTYTAATTCTTGATCTCACCAAATTTCAGGTTTGTAGCAGTTCTCAGCCTTTTCATGTCCAGTTGAGGCCTTTTATAAATGTATATTTGATTCATTAATCTTAGCATTATTTTCTTATTCATTAATTTGATTTATAAATCTTAGCATTACTTTCTTATTCATTAATCAGAACTCAGTATCTGTTGCTCATAAAGGTATGCAAATATATGCACAACAATTTGTGTAAGATATTATGTTAAAATAAAACTGGTGACTGAGGACAGTTTCAGAGGATGAACTACCTCTTTACATAGCAGCCATCCTGCTAAAGAAACTGAAAAACATTTTGCAGCAGTTAGGAATCTTGAGGGAGGAAAAGGTTTCTCAATAGTCACGTAACACTCTGTCCTCTGTGAAGCATGAGTTAATACAGTATGACTTACATTTTATAATTAACAAAATAATAGTCCTGAAATCTGCTCAAGCAAAATTCCTGTGGTTGGGCTGAAAGTATTCTATTGTCTCTGGCTTTCATGAGTTAAATGAAAGCATCAGAGAAGATAATCTCAACACTGATTGTGCCATTGTAATGTGATCTGTTATTCTGCAAACATGAACAAGAAGTACTGTGCTTCCTGAAACAGGCACCTGTGGGGATCAATATATCCAGAGGAGTGAAAATACATTCCATTCTTCTTTAAAACCTTTTATATAATGATTAGATGGCAGTTGTAGCTTAAGGCTTCCTCAAGAGAAGAAATATGTGTTTTATTATACCAATTCGGTATAATGGTATAAAAAATTGTGTAATTTGTACTTTTCTTTTAATTGTAAAATCTGGATATCTCTTAGCTGTGCACATCATTGTAGTATGGAAATGAAACTGATCATTTCTTGCAAGAAAGTAATTAAGGAAAAATTGAAATCTTAAAGTTTTTTAAAGTAACTTAATTTTTTTTTCTCAAAGCGACTTTAGTTTCTGATATGTTTCTCTGTATTTTTTTAATTGTATTTAAAATGGATCTAAAGTTTTAGTAATTAAATATTGAAAGATGGAGAAGTTCTATGAAATCTCACCATTTCTAATGGAAGGAAATAGTTCTCCAGTAAGTTTTATTTGCTATTGAATTGTTTTAGTTAGCTTTACTCAGATAAATGTCACTTTTAATCAGCCTCCTTGCAAATTATAATTCCCACTTGTATGATTAGTGGGAGAAAATCTCTGTATGTGACCTCATTAGGGCACTTTATTATGTGAAAAGAAAGGAGGATTTAAAATCTAGGCATCGAAGAAGGTGACAAGAACTTGCAATGTGAAAAACACAGGCTTTCCAAAACAACTGAGTTTGTTCTGAATTAAGCTGTTAGCACATCTGCTATTTTAAGTAACCCTGGAAGGAACCTCTGTGAGCACTGGAGTGAGCAGTGCCATGCTGAATGTGGTCTCCCATGGGGAGGCATTATTTTAATTGCTAATTCAGTCTTCAACATTTGCCAGTTCAAAGATGTTCACATCGGAGAAACTAACTTAGTTTTAAAAATCTTTATTTCTGATTCATAAAATGCACATTGCTATAAAATTTGAAACTAATCACTTCTTTTTTCTCCCCTCCTTAAAGAGCATCTGGGTTAGTACCTACGTGTTTACAATATGCTTTGCTGCTAATGTGGGACTGTTGTATGGCGTTGTCTGCACTATAGTAATTGTGATATTCCGCTTTCCCAGGTAAGAAACAATTTATTGGAACGTTCTACTTGCRCATCATTATGTATTCTTTCTGCATATTGCTTCACAGTCAGGATAGACATACGGTATACTAAATTTAACAACTAAACTCCAGTTTTTTAGTTGCCGAAAATTACAAGATAAGACAATTCAAAAGGAAAAGTCACATCTGTGCATTTACTGTAGACTAARAATCTCTAAAACATTTTATAAAATGGCATTATCTTGTGATTTCTCTTATTATTACACATCTGTATGATTCATTATGTGAAAGTAGAATAAAATCAACAAGAAGATTAATAATTTTTTTCCATTAGACATTTATTTGGTCCTTAGGGAGAAAGTATGTCTGACAAGCTTTAGAAAYGAACAGCCTTTATAAACTCCTAGGTACTATGGTACACAGAGTTGGTAGTTGACAATTGCACTGCTAATATAGGTTRATGAAACACAACTGCACAACTAATGCCTAATAAAAAGTGTAAGTTCTGTGTATGAATTAGAAAAGTCAGGAAAAAAAAAATTAAAGCAATAAGAAGTTAATGCATTATTTTGAATATATTGCGGTAGCTACTTTGGATCATGAGTAAAGAGAAACATCAGCAGAGGTTCRTGATTGATTTGTGCTACAGAATTAATTCACAGCTCACCAGTCCTGGAAATGACTTGCTGCTTGCTTGCAGTTGTTTGCAGGACATTGAATCCCACTGAAATTAAGTATGATATAGACAGCTTGATTAAATGCTTGTTAAAGTTAATGGTGTTAGATATTTGTGCACAGCTCTGTTCTAACAGAGTAAGTTGGAGAACCAGCATGAAAATAGTTCAAAATTTCAAGGCAGTTAAAAATTATGTGAGATAGTTTCTGCGTGGATCAATCAGTACCTTTGTGACAACATTGTGCTATTCAGCAAAATAAAATTTAGGTAAGTTCAGGCAGTAAAGCAAAAGGCAAGTTTTCATGCTGTATTTATCCGGACCTGAATAAATATAAATATATAAATGCTGTTGGTGCTCCAACAGCAGAAAGTGATAGATATCTAACACAAAAGAGCCCGATCTAGTGGAGACCTCAGGCTGAACCTGAACTAATTAATATAAATGAGACTCTTCAAAGTGATCTCTGTGAAGCTGCTGCATATGATTGTCCATGCCATCTAAAGGCATTGAACAAGGTAGCAGCATTAAAATTGGCATGGCACAGATGGGGCTAACAAGACAAAGTGTATTAAGCCATACAGTCATGAGCAAAAGTATTAGCAGGAGTGARGCAAGAAAAATATCATAATTATTTATGCAAAGTTCCTGTTCAGATGTCAGAGTAGTGGATGTTGTACATATKATGTATCAGAATCTGTTAAAACCAKCAGCAGCCTCAGCTTCATTAATGCAAAGATGAGAGAACAGCTGATGTTTGCAAGGCTCATTTATCTGGCCCCAATACCTGCACATACTCCCTGTRTATCAGTGCATCTATCTCAGAAGGTAGCTCGTTCCACAGTGTTCTGCTGTTAAATGTGTTCCTGCAAATGGCATGGAATCAGAAGATCCTACACTGAGCTGCYTTTCCAAGGCAACTTCCTCTTTTCAATTGTAGAGAGCAGAGGAATGTTGGTCCTTTCCAGTAAGTCTCCTTTTTTGATAGTTAGAGTGCAATGTACTGCTTCATCATAMAAAAATGTGTCAATTTTAATGACAAATAAAATATCTTTATTTTTCTTGACCAGAATATTTTTTTCCTTTTCCTTACAATATGATTTTGYGGGTATTAATTAAACCTCTTTACTTTTGAAGCTATATTATATATGAGCTACCTTGACTTGAGAGTACCTTTATGGGCAGCTAAAGAAAATTAGAATTCAGATTTTCTTCACCAGAGCATTTCATTATTCATATTTTCAAAGGGATATCATAATTCTAAAATRAGCCTTTGTAAGTGGATGATTTTCAGAAAAGATAAGGTCTGTATTCACAAAAATACGCACAGATTGCAGTGTTGGATCTTTATGTTTCTATGTTGTGGCAAACCACACAGGGTGTGTGTCTTTTTGTTTCTGTTCAAGACCACTAATGATTTACTGAACAGATTTTTCTCTATGTATTGATTACAGAGCAAAGACACTGAATTTGAAAAGTATGAAAGAGGTGGAATATAAATATAAAGCAGAAGATAATTGTGTAAGTTATTTTCTTTTTAAACCTTTTTTTTTGTCTGTGTATATCACTAATTCAGGTTTGTTTGTTTGTTTTCTCTAGTTAGTTACCAGATTGTAATCAGGGAGTCAAGGGAATGATTTATGATATGACCACTTGAAATCTAAAGCCAGCATAATATAATAAAAACAAAGCTAGCTGGCCATCAGAAATTGGACTATTTTCATGGTTCTGCTGYTTGTCTGCAAAATGAAGTTAGGCACGTCCTCTTAGATGTATCTTAGTCGATCTGTCACTTTYAGTTATGAATTGTTCTATCTAAAAGTTTCCTAATTCCTAAATTTAAGAAAATCTCTTGCCAGGAAYGGCAAGGGCAATCTGAGCAGACAATAGCAGTCTCTGTATTATCACATTTCCTAAAAGTCCTTTGGTATTCTCATCATCTCCAATCTCTTTTCTAAAATAATTTCTGCCACCAGTCCCTTGTGAGCTGTCCCAGAGGACACCCTGTGGCTGGACAAAAAGGGGCAGCAYCACAAAGTTATCACARAYTGCTTYAYACATCTCMTCACCCTGTGCTCAAACAGGGTCGRAGCACATGAAAAATAGACAGGATTTTCCCCAAAGACTGTGCCTTTAAAATTTAGCTCCTTACRAAGTTAAACCAACCAGTCAGATCCCTTTGGTTATTTTCATTGCAATTTTCATCAAAGCTGCTTTTGCCCAGGTCTATGGTAAGAAGAGAAGGGTCATGACCCAGAGAGGTGAACTCCCTTCTCCAAGATGAAATGGTAGGTGGGCAGCCAAGACAGAAGTAAAGCCATGTGTCCTTTCAGCACAGAGCTCCATCACTGGCACACCCTGCCTTCTCCACCGTGGCAGTTTCTTCTCCTTTGTCATTTTTCCTTTCCTAATGCTTATGAAGGGTCTTACGTATCAGTAATCCACATACTCAGCAGTTATTGCTGCACCATTAAGCACCTCTTCTTTAAAGAATTTATTACTTCTGGCAAATGTCTTCCATCAGAGTTATCTTGGGCTCAAAATTTGAACTTCCAGGGGCTCAGGGGCATTTACTGTTTTGGCATGCTGAGCAACATTGGGATGTGAAAGGTACATAAGAATTGGGAGGTCTCTGAAATGTGAATTAAAGGMACTGTTGTTGAGGCTGGCCCAGCTGTCAATTATTATATCACTTTTCATTCTTAATAAAAATGTTAGAGWAACTTTGTCAGAGATGGGTAACCAAAATTTGATTTGCCTGCTATTTTTCATATTGGTTCATGAAGTATTTTGTACAAATGCCTATACATTTTTTAAGGTTACTGCTCCCCTGCCTTTTTTTCCCCTTAATCAGTAGGATTAATGCCAGTAACCTAGTAATAACAAACTAGTGTCTACAGACAGTGGGGAAAATAACATTATGTTAGAGAAGCAAATTGCTCAAGAGCTTATTACACAAAACAAAGAAGGAAAGTATGCCTTTAATTGAATTTAGAGTCACTGGGTTGCAGCAGGCATTTAGGGTAATTTTTAATGTATGACTGTTAGACTGATCCAAGTTTCCTGGTAAATAAGAGATTAAGCATAAACAACAGGACTTTAAAACATGAAAATATGCACATTTAATGATCTAYCCTGCCATTAAGGTCGGTGGATTTATAGAGGTTATTTCATCAGTAAGTGAAAAGACACTTTAATGTGGAAAAAATCAAAGGATATTTAGAAGCTTATGTGAAACACATTTCATCCCAGGCGTTCACTGGCACCGAACTCGTACCCAAGCAGAGTTGGTGCTGTGCAGAGCACGCAGGGCAATCGCCCAGGRCCTTCTGAGTGATGGCAGGGACAGACATGTGCGAGAAATTTCCTGCTTTCTTAGCAAGGACACAACAAAGAGGAAGTTCATTTCCCCCTGAACAGTTCTTATTAAGAAAGAATCAAAACAGAGCTAGGARTAAGTGGCTAGTCAAATTTAGGCACAGTTGACCTTGTCCATTCTGGACAAAAGAAATTATCCCTAAGTCTGCCATCTGTTTGATCTGGCCTTATGACTTGAGCCTTTCAAGTTTTATAGCTTGTACTTTTGGTAGCTTGAGTATCAGAGACTTTGATCTTTGCATCAGTCTTCCTTTTTTTCTCAGTTTTTATCTTCTACTTTGCCAGTACTGCTATGGCACTGAGGTGTCCACTTGTCCCCACACCAAGCTGTGTATAGGATTGTTTTTATGGGAATCTGTGGGATGTCAGAGTATTTCTCCATCCAGGCATATACCATCCTCTGTTTTGCCCTTATTTTGGAGCTCCATTTCATACAAAGTGACATTTTAACTGCCAGTTAGGCTTTGCCACTTGTCTGACTGTGGTATGTTGGTGATGTGGTATTTGCCACTATCACATTCATAGGTAAATTGCGCAAAGTCCCTGTACATAGTATGGGGTTCTTTGCCTCAGTTTGGGRTGTTTGAAATGTTTCCTTTATATGACGGTCACTGGGGTGGTGTGTGAGAGATCATCTCATTCCCAGAAGTCTGAACAGCAGTCTCCAATAAGGAGAGAGTTTATGTGGTTTGTGGTAAAGATTTCCATTCCTGTTTTGCTTGAAAGTCTGTTGGGAAAACTGCAAATCTTCAATGCAATCCCAAAGAACTACTTAAAAAATGGTCTGTGTCAGCTCCACTTACTTGTGTTTGACTGTGACCTTGTTACATGACTTTTGCTAGGAGGAAGAGAGGTTTTTCACCCTAGATTCTCTTGCAAATTCTTGATTTCTATTTCCATTGTCAGACAACCAGTAGAAAATCAGGAATTCTGTAGAATCAACTTAATTCTATCTCATACAAAACCAGTATTTAAGCATGTCTTGTTGCTGTCCAATATATTTCCATATAAATATTAATTTTCTTACTGACTTTTGAAAGTGTTTTATAAGTACACCTYGAGAGTGAGAGAAAGAGCACTTGTTTTGTGCAAACTTTTTTCCAGTTTCTCCTGGGGGTTACTGAACAATATCTGATGATCTTCCAAAACTGTTCTGCTGGGTAACATTTCTGTTTTGAGTTGCATAGTCTGACTGGAGGTACTGGTAAGCTTGTTGTAGCTTATTCAATGAAGTGCAGAGACAGGACTGAGGGTGACCAATGGTTCTTGAGTAAATTATTGTGTTGGTTTTAGATATGTGCTGGTAAAGCTTTAAATGTGCCACTCAAGATTAGTTGGGATCCAATGTATTCAATATTTTCATGGAGTACTATCTCTGTACTAAGGTCTTCTTCACATGACCAAGATGAATATTGCCAGCTTTCYCCAAACCACCTGCAGTGCTTGCCCTAAATCCTTGTGTACTTTTTTCAGGACATGTTTTTCTAATAAAATATATTGCCTGTCTGCAAATGTTACCTTGCCTATACTTGGGGATCATACCAACTGAAATAATACTATTATAATTGTTAGCTAATTGTTCTTAGTATTATGGACCATAACGAGTAATGCTTTTTTTAATTCTAACTAAAATTACAGAAAATTTTAATTATATATTACCTATATTTCCATTCTTACTTCAGTTGYGTGTGAAGGCTGATCAATAGAATTATCTGTTAAATCATTCTCACTCCTAAGCTCCATTCTCAATCCTAAACTCCTCCTAGGTTAATTTACAGGTATTTACAGGATTTTTAAAGAAATTAGTCTGTGATTTGATCTCCAAATCTAAGATGACCTTTTCAGCACTATGTTTCTTTCATTCCACAGGAATCATTAAAACAGGTAAAAATAGTTTCAGTCAACAGCCCGTTAGTCTTTCTGAATGCCAGAAAATTTCACGCTGACCTGTTAAAGATAATCCAGAAGGATGGACTGAGCAGCCAGGTATGTGATGATGTAACCACATGGGATGTGCTTTATGCTTCAATAATTGCTGTGACTGGGTTGAAGGTGTTGTTTGCTTTCCTTGCATTTCTTAGAGAATGCAATTGGATATTGAAACTGGTATAAAAGGCAACATTAGGAAGGATTCATTTAGAACAAAGCGAATCCTWATCTTAATCAGACTCAATATGGACAATTATTATTACTTGAAAATAATATCTCCACTATTTCTGCATGTGATCTTGTAAGAGACATTAAAGCACTGATCCAACTCTCCAAAATTTCTGGAAGAACTTACATAACTTCAGCTGATATGAGGTTGGGATTTTGGAAAGGCAAYGAGTATGCTTGAATAAAATAAGGTGTGGTTTTTGGTTTTTTTTCYTTGAGATAAGTCCATGAGAGATGGACACTCCATTTCAAATGATAAATAATTTGGGGAGAGGTAGGAAGAAAGTGGCTAAATTTTTTCCTCAAGGTTTGCTTCTTTTTCTTCTTTTGCATTGATTGTATTAGAAAAATAAACAGTTTACGAATGGGGGATGGAGAATATCCCCAAAAATACAGTATTTTCCAAGTTTATCTGCATATAGCTACTGCAACTTCCTGCAACACTTACTAAAAGGGAAAAAATAAATTATCATAATCATAAATTATCATTTTTCTATCAGTACCATGAAGACATTCCAATACTATACAATGCTTACTATAGACAATTTCACCCAGTTTGGCAAATTGGGCTGAGAAAATCACAGCCATGCCTTAGATGGGTTGTTAAGACACAGCATGTGTCTACCAGCTCTGCTGCCCCTTGACAAAGAGTTGTTCTACCCATATGTGCTTTGATGGGTGGAAATTCAGCTTAGAAAAAGGCTTTTTTTCCCTTGGTTATGCTAAGCTGACTGATTTGGATTTGTATGATAAAAAGCCTACAAACAGAGARAAATTACTTAGGATTTGCATGGTATTAATTTATGAGTCAATTTAAWAAGTTAATTTAATAAGTTAATTTATACATTACTTATGAGGCAGATTTTATCCTTTGTTTCTTCTGTAAGGTACTCAGCAGTACAGCTGCTGTGCTTTTTTAAAAAAAAAAAAGATTTGTTTAATAAATGCCTTTCTGTAGTACAATGGGTGTAAAAAAATGCAGTTTCAATTTTGTTTCTATGCTCTATTTCTGCTTTTAACTCACATTTCTACTGAGAACTTTAATATTGAAATATTTATAAAAATTCTCCAGATAAAGGTAATTCTTTAATAAATTTACATGTCAAAAACGTTCTTACTAAAATATTAGAATAGCAGATGAGATTGCAGCAAGTAGAAAATTTATCAAAAGTTAATCTTATAAAATCACTGCCTAGAATTTTTTTTTCAATAACRTCTTTCCCTTCTTTTGACCACTTCTTAACCACTCCCTGCTTCCCCAAAAGCAYTGTGCCCAAAAGATGCTTTCTAGTAAATCCAAATATAGCAGAGGTTGAGTCAGCTAAAAAGAAATGCAAAATATCTGTTTGAGTATGTATGTATCAGTATTCTTCTAAAGTTATACCAAAATATTATATATCCATATTATAAAATATATCCRTATATTATATATCCATAGAACATGATTTTGGAGATAATGAGTTAACTTTGGTACTGAGAAACAAAATTCTTATGTATTGCATTGATTTTTTYCTCGTTACTATGCAATGGATTGGTTTTCCTTGGTGTGTTAATTGTTGCTTTTATTTCAGTGTGAGCAGAACACATTGCTCTGTTCGTTTTCCAATGGAAGTTGTCATGGTGAGTTTATGGTATTAAAACCAAGATGGATGTAAATGTGCAAAATTGCTCCACATTTTTCTATGTATTATCCAGGTGCACACAAGTTTCATGGAAACAAATATTTTCAGTTAGACCAAGCATTCAATGAAGCGTGAATACTAAACTGTGTTAAACTCTGTTAACCTTGGCCTAACAAGTCCTGGGTTTCATTCTGGTTTTTGACTGACTTTTTTAAGATTCTGAAAGTAGGGAATCCCATGAAAATGCCCTTTCTACAGGARTGGAAGGTTTTAGTGGAAGGCTCATTGCCCCTCACAGTGGGGTTGGAACTGGATGATCYTAAAGGTSCCTTCCAATCCAGATCATTCTATGGTTCTCTGTCCCTGTTTATTGCACAGGAATGAGTGAGTGTGTAAAGAGACAGGTACATAGAGGAGGGAAATACTTCCCATGTTGTTGTCTGGACTCATCTTCAGACCAGGCTGAAGGGACGGTTTTACTAAGTGCTGGTCTTGGCTTTTTTTGCATTCACAACATTGAATATTAGTATGAAAAAGTAAAAGATTAGAACCCTGTTAACTGAATTGTTAGTGACATGATGACCACCAAYATTATACAGTATATCAATACAATATATAATAAAAAACCCTAGAGGTTTTCTTTCAGTTAGGAACTAAGCAGGATAACTCCACTATCCCTACATTTGTAACCCTTAAATCAAACCAGAGCACATACATTCCTTGGGAGAGCTGCAGCAACCTTTTGCAGTAGATAATTTATACAGATGACTTCATTGGGGATAGAATTAAAACAGTGTTTATTTAAAACACTTACAAGCATTAAGGCCACAGTAGAGAATCTGATTGGGAGGCTGTTGTCTGAATGTCTGCATTTGTTAACTAGACTCAGGACATTTTTATGATACTACAGGGATAAGTTTACTCGGGGGGTGACAGAGTGCTTTGCTGTAGCATAGCAACCTACCAAAATGGCTACTGATGATTATATTGTATTGTATTAACTATATTGTAAAATACTGTGTGAGGAGATCTTACCGGTTTATATTTCTGTCATCTTGAAGATGATTTCTCATATTAGAAAAGTGACAGAAAGCACAAGACCATTTTTCTGAAACCTAAGTCCTGCCTTGAGGACTTAAATGCTGTTGTTACTTGTACCAACCAGCCTATGGTGATTCTTCATGGAGTCTTTAAAACAAACAGAAAAAAAAGAAAAATCACTATAAAGAGAAAAGCAAAATGTGGATCTTAAATTTCAAGAAGGAGGGGAGCATGAGGACAGATCCAAAGAGGGTGCAGATCTGTACCTATCCCCCTGTTCAGAGGCCAGGCAGCCTCTACTGCAATTCAGGATGCAGCAGGGAATTATTATACTGGGCCTGGGATATCTCATGAGCCCTTTCTGRGTTTCTGTCACAGTAATTTCAGGCAGGAGGTTCCCTTTAAAATTGCATATTTTTGTTTGTATTCTATTCATCAATTCATGTAGTTGAACAGTACAAACACAGYAAATCTCTGGAGATGCAAGTCCAAAAGTCTCTGGCTCTCAGACTACTGTTAGAAAGTAATTACCACCATCATAAATTTGCWTCATAGGGAAATTCCAAATCCCCTCAATAATTTAAAATCTTTACCTCTGCTCTGCTAAAGCCATTTAGCTTAACTCATCTTTACATTCAGAATTCCTTTCCTTCATATTTTTCTTTTTTTTTTTCTTTTTTTTTTTCAGTTGTGTCATTATGATAACAAACATTTGTTCACAGAACAATGTAAATAAGATGTGYATTATTTTCTAGTTTTCCCTTTATGAAAGCCAGGAATCATTTATCTATGTGCTAGTTCAGGATACATTTAGAACAGAGTGTGTTTAGATTAAATACAAAATGGCCTGAGGCTGGAGAATAAGAYTTTTGCCAATCTTACCAACACAGTTTTCTTCTCCAGCATCAATACATCATAGTGTGTTAAAAATTTAACCAAACAAAAACCAGCATAGTAAAACCTTAGGAAAATAGAATACTCCACTTTACATATATTGCTTCCCYATGGCTGAATATTAAGCCATAGGCAGGTGTTTAGGTACTATAGAAATCAATATCGCATGAGAATTTCTGTGCAACCCATTAAAAATSTTCCAAAGAAGCCAAGCTGACTCAATGAGAAATTCAAATTTGAGGAAACAATTGTTTAATCATTGAGAGGCTATTGCTGCCTAAAATATCTCATTAATATGTTCTGCCTGTCATTGCTTCTTTCCATTGCCCTGAAGTTTCTTCATTTGTGCTTCTAAATTGTGGCATTTGCTTGCCTGATACCTCAGCACATAACAGTAAAAATTTAGTTGAGGTAGTTTGGGCTTATTTTGTTGAGCTATCATCATTTTTATACCCATTTTGTGAGTATTCTCCCTTTTAATGAAAGTTTTTCATTTATCAAATATGTAGGTGAGTCACAGTCATGTCACAGTGATCGACGTGTTTTGATATTAGACTGCAGTGGACTGAATTTCTTTGACTACACTGGAGTCTCAGTGCTTCTTCAGGTATTCATGACATTAGAAATATTCTGTATATATTATAATTACACATATGAGTTACTGAGGTAACTAGTCACTTCATCTATATTAGTGGATAAACATTTCAYCCACAGAAAAGATGAATGCAGATTTGGTATTAAACTGTACCATGTTKKTATATAAAATTACATTAAAATATTTCTAAATATTTTGGGTAACAGTGCAAATGTATGTATTTTCCCTCCTTTTTCATTTTTTTTTCCAAGTTGGCTTAGGTCATATTTGACCCTGCCATGCCAGTTGTAGAGGCATGTGTAAATTTACCACTTTAATATTTTGGCTTTAATTCTGTGATTTTATCTGTACGTTCTCCTTTCTGCTCAGCTGGAGGTCAAAGCATGATCTCTATCCTTTCTCCTGTGGATAACATGTCTTGCAGACTGGTTTCAGGCATTGCAGGAGTTCCAAGACGCTCCCACAGGACTAAACCCAGTAATCACTGGTTACTGTGGTGAATGGAACTAAATCCTGATGGTAGCTGGCCACAGTTGGTGTTCCCCTGGACCCAGTCCCRGTTAATATCTTTATTGATGATTTGGACAAGGGGATTGAGCATACCCTCAGTCAGTTCACAGATGACACCAGGTTGARTTGGAGTGTTGATCTGCTGGAGGGCAGGAAGGCTCTGCAGAGGGATCTGGACAGGCYRGATCCATGGGCCAGGGCAAATGTAAGTGGTTTAGCAAGGCAAAGTGYTGGGTCCTGCATTTGGGTCACAAGAACACCGTCCAGTGCTGCAGGCTGGGGAAGAGTGACTGGAAATACAYGGGTTAGTGGTGGACTTGGTAATTTCAAATTACTGCGTGGATTCAATGACCTTAAARGTCTTTTCCAACCTAAACAATTCTATGAGTCTATGGTTCTGCATAATAAGCAGTTCCATATAGTGGATAAAAAAATTGTGTCCAAAAGCTGCTTCTTAACATTTCCATCAGGTCTGGAGYTTAAAAGTTGTGTAGTGAGTACAGAATTAAGTAAGCATGGAAGGTTTGGTTTGCATAATTTTTCTGAGTAAGATGGAGGACTAGATTTGAACTTGGGTCTTAGCCCAGCATCTTCTCAACAATTGCCCTAACAATTTTCTCAATTTACTGCAGTGATTTCACAGTGAAGTAAGTGYGGTCTTAAAAGATTTTAAATTAAAACTACACATATAGGCAAGGATATAATGAAAAAGARAACTGGAAAAATAAGGTTAGTGGGAACAACTCTTTATTAGCCATCCCTTCGATATACAGGGCATTCAATATAGTATTAATTWAAAAAATTCTGAAACTGATTTCCAAAAGATCTTAAGAGACCTCCAAATTACAAGGTATGTCAAAGAAGTGTTTGAAAAATTTGTGAGAGGTAAGTCTGGCGTGGTCTGTGAAGTGCACAGGTTGGTAGTGCAGCCTCTGGATAAATGGTTGGTCCAAAACTAAGTTGCTCAGAGAGGASCATACTCAACATGTCCTTGTTACACTGCTTCCCAAAGTTATCATCACTGATGCCAGAGATGGAAGACTTTTGAACTGAGTAAGTTTTTTAGTTCATTTTTTAAAAATATAGTATTCTGATGTGTCAGAATTCTGATCACTGAATCTCTCCTTTCAGAATTTTTCCATTTCACACAGATTGTTTAAAYACTTTTTTTGAAGCAGGAATTACTTTGAATATTCACCATTTGGCAGAAAAATGCCCTACCCTGGTTTTAGAATTATTTTCATTTTTTACTGTTAAAATTTTCTATCTTATTAATAGTTTGTCTCTGTGGAGTTGAACAGTTTCAAAGAAAGAATWAAGAACAACTTACTCCTGAATGTAACATGACAGTTATGGTGTTTTTTTGGTAAAAGCCTCTACGTTTCTGAGGTCTGATTCCTGTCTGTGTGGACTGGTAGTAAACATATGGTAAAGACATGGGAAAACACGCTGGAAAAAGAGAACTGAAAATGAAACCCCCTTAAAATTACAGTAAAAATGCAAAAATGTTAATCAAAATAATTTTGAATTCTCAGCAGAACTGTAGAGTACTGTGAAAAGTGGTGGGAAATAAGTGTGACTTGGTGGTGTTTGCATTATAGAAGGGCTCACTCTGGTGGCTGCTGGCAGTACAGCTGCTGCAGCAGCGCCCCGAGCTCTGCCTGCCTTGAATATGCCTTTTTGTGTATCTTACTCTCTTTTTCTATTTAAAACATTTATTTTAAAATTTCTTGTTTTCAAACATATAGATTTACACGGACTGTAAAAACAGACACATCGATGTGTTGCTAGCACACTGCAAAGGCAAGTATCAGCTTACAGCAAAAATTTTAACATGATGGTTTATATTTCCTCACTATCTTATCAGTGCTCATGTGTTTGTTTTATTGCAGCTTCYTTGATAAAAGCAATGCAGTACGGTGGAAATCTTGAATCTGAAAATCCTGTGTTTTTTGAATCTATTTCTTCAGCAATCGATGCCATTCAGATTCACAGGGTAAGATTTAAAAGCAGGAATAGGTGAAGACTGGAGGGCTTCTTGGRTGCTCACAGCAATTTGTTAAAGTCKGGGAAAGTCTGACCAGTGAACCTTTTGTRCAGAAATCTTATCTGTCTGTACTCAACAACTGGTCCTCAACCTCAGGAAGGCAGTTTTCCATTTTTTTTTTGCTGTTAGCACTCTGTTCCCATTGCAACAATTTCTCGACCTTCTGTGTACATCCAGAGGCACTATGCTGTGGTACTTTAATCTGGTGCTTTAATCAGGGCATTCTCCAAAAGATGTTAAACTCATCATGGTCTGTGGTTTGGTTGTTTGTCTTTTTTTCTTCACTTTGTATTTTACTAATTAAATCAGAGTTGCCTGTAGACAAAACCCCTTTCCATTGATTTGTCCAGATTAAGGTAAGTTGGCACAATTGTCTAGTGAATTGACCAGAAAAACATGTTCTCTTCAGAGCTTTTCAACATTTTTCATTATGTTGTCCTWCAAAAAATAATTTACTGAAATGGTAACTGCAGGGCAAAAATAACTGGGYTGGCTATTGTATATGTTGTCTGGGTCTGATTAGGTGAATTAGAATARTTGTCGTGTTATAAAATGTCTGCATTTTTTATTGACATTAATTAACCTTCCCAACATTCTTGTAAGATAGTTATGTACTAGCCTTCCCATTTKATGGAAATGGGACATGGATAGACCAGGACAAATGTTCAAAATTAAAAGGGGGAGCAAAAACTCAAAGTCCACTTTTTTGAGGACCCAATTGGCTGTTTCTACCAGAGCTGCTGAGCAAATCAAATCTCTGTTGAATGCCTTAGCAGTTTAGTCTGAAAGGCTGGCCTGCAGCCTCAAATTTTAAATGTAATTATGAACAGTATATATATACTGCTGATACTTATTCCKAGTATTCACAGTGCTTTAGGGATTTTTATGTGATCACTGTGTTAACACCTGAAGATAAGATGAACAGGAGTGAAAAGGCAGGGTAACCATAATAGCAGCACCACACTGTAGCTACCAATCTATTACTCCTCCTTTGCTTTYTAAGATGCTGAGGTCAGTAGGACTTTTGAGTGTTAACATGATGGAATAGGCAGAATAAGATAGAAAAAGAGTATGAGGAAGGAGTTGGAGACTAACAGAAAGTGATGTTTCTGATTTGCATTTCAGCTTCCCCCCACAGCAGGAAATAGTCTTTCACTGTCAGAAAGGTAGAGGCAAGAGGGCTTTGTGGTTAATTTTCACCACTGCTGCTGCTCGGAAATGCTAAGATGTTTTTGTSTACATCCTCCAATGAAAATGTTGGGTCATTCTCATTTTTATGTTTATAAATTGGCAAGAAACTTGCCTGTTGCTTTATGCRATTAATCATAATTAACTTCTTTAATTATTAGTTTTTATAATGGTGGCATTTTCAAGCTAGCACTCCTTCATCTCCCAACTTTACATTATATTCGAGGAAAATATTATAATGCTTTTTTTTTTTTTCTGTTTCTCTCAATTTAGAATTACAGCAAGTTCAGTGAACAGAGTGAAGTGTGATGCCTACCCATTGAGAATTGCTAGTTTCATCTGCTCATATTCAAAATGAACTACATCATGGCTTCTCCTTTTTTCTCCAGTGGATCTCATAGATGATCATTTGTATGCCATACATATTTAGCACATTCAGTTATGACAGAACTGCCTATCAGAAAGAAAATCRTTCAGCTGCCATCACTCAGAGAATGTTCATGTAATTGTTCTACAGTGGTTTTATATAATATTTTTATATACATTTAGATACAAACTATTAGAAAGCAGACATGAGGTACTGACTGTGTTTACCAGTGAGGTATATTCTTTTAGATATCTTTTGTAACATTAGTTGTAATATGCATCTGTAGTTTTGTGTATGGAATAGAGACATTATGAATTGTTAAAAGAGTATGTTATAATTGATAGAGTATCTGCAGGAAAGCATATACCAGTGCATTTCTAGTGGCTTTACTTACTCTTTCCTTAGTTCAAGACAGCCATTTGCAGTAACAGCATCATATCACTCTTATCATATTCTTCCATTTTTGTATGCTCTCTAATACTTGCTGAGATAAATGGGAGAACTTGCAAGTATATGCAGAGAAGGCAGATGCATGTTGTCTAAGACACTGGATTGCCTTGCCCTCCATAGTTATTTTGAGCTATTATGGTTTGCTATATTTTCAAAGATATTCTTTAGCTCAGACTGAAGAGGAAAAACTGGTAATRTTTTTCCAAACCGTATTCTTTTTTCCAGCACAGAGTAGTCTGCATTTCCAGTTTGAGCYGTGATTTGTTTGGTGTTGAAATCTTCAGCTGAGGCAGCTGAGAGGTGATAGTAGAGACACATGAGGTGTGTGACATTTCCGCCACAATCATGATGGGCAGTACTGTGTGCCATACACAAAGTGGGTGGAGGAATTCACAGGTTGAGTATTTGGTTTGTATTTATGGGTTGTCAGCAATCATATTAGATTATACTATCACATCAGTATCATGTTAAATGGCATGTTATTGAGCCCTTCCAGTACCTGAAGGAAACCTACAATAAACACGGAGAGAGACTGTTTACAAAAGCATGCAGTGATCGGGAAAGGAGGAATGGCTTCAAACAGAATGAGAGTAGGTTTAGATTAGATATTGCAAAAAAAAATTCTTCACCATGACAATGGTGAGGCACTSGAACAGGTTGCCAAGAGAAGTTATGGATGCTTTAACTCTGGAAGTGTTCAAGGCAAGGCTGGGTGGAGGTTTTACCAACTTGTTCTAGTGGAAGTTTTCCCTGCATATGGCAGGGTGTTGGAACCAGATGATCTTTAAGGTCCCTTCCAACCCATGCCACTCTATGATTTTATGCATGACTTCGTTCCACTTGCCTTTGTTCTCTTATGTGACCACCAGCAATAAAATGTGAGTTGAGCAAAAAAGGAATCAACAAATGAGAAAGAGAGGAATTAGGATTTTTTGAAATCAACTTAAAGAATCTATGGAAACTAAAGGTCAATAAATATAGCACAGCCATAATGGCCATCTTAGCACTCCAGAGAGAAGGGAAGTACAAAGATGCTTTGTGCAACTGAAACAYACAGGCAAAATCCAGTGCAAAGCATTCMGTTTTCAGCAGCAGTTACATATGTATGCTTGCCTGGACCTTCCTTTCTCTGTCTGCCCAAAGCTGCTGCCTGCARGAGATGAGGTGGCTCACAGAGCAAMTTCTGCATCTCTGCATAGTTAAGACATTGCTAATGTTTTCCTCTAGTCTTGCTAACTCTACACTACTAGATGATAATAGGAGAGTGCCATAGGGGTTTTTGCCCTTTCAATTATGAGTGACTCTTGAAGTTATTCCCTAGTTTGTCCCACCAAAGACAAGAAATGTTCAGTAAAAGTTCTTCTACGACTGCCTTGGTAATTACTATGCAAAAGGTTGATAAGCAACTGYGAGAAACTCATTATACACAGGAGAAATAAATTCTGTATACTGTTCCAAGCACATTAATTTAGATGCTGTAGTTGATTGCAAATGGCTCATTACATCACTGGACTCAGTAACAGGCTATAACGTTTGATTAATAATTTCCTCAAACAGTTTTAGTAATTTATTAACGCTTTAGAAACTATTTACAATGTACTTTAATCGTAGAAGCAGCAATTTTATGTCACAGCTGAATGGAGATTTCTACTTAACTGCAAACTGAATAAATGAATAAATGGTATCTTTTCTACTAGGTTCAGCATTTATTCTTTGTCGGCTAATGTTTTTTCTGAAAATTTACAGATAAATTGATTAATGAAATTGTTAAAAATAGGGTCTTTAGCAAAGATAACATCTACCAGGAGGCTTTCAGTTTTGTTCTGAATGATCTTGTAAATGGAACAACACAGATAGTTTTAAAATTCCTTGGAGTATTAGCCTTTAATGAAACCCTCTGGGTTAAATGATCAATTCTGTAGTGCTTATCAAAATAACTTGCAATTTTTACTGCTTTCAATAGGAATGTTTTGCCCAGCTAAATGGCTGTTTTAGGGATGAACATTTATCTTGCATTAGCTCCAACCTTCCAACACTGCGCTTTGGGATACTTGTAATATTTCTGTAATCTATTTTGCCATATATAAATAGTCTAAATAACTTTCCATTTCTGAGAGTATGCATTGTTAATTGTATTCCCTGTCTGGCACGGGACTTCACTTAGAATAGTTGTTTTTCAGCAGAACAGRGTGTTTAAGGGACACATGAATATAGTTGCCCTTTCAATTTCTTCTAAAATGCCTGCATTGAGTTAAAGCTCTGTCAAACCAGAACTGCTCTACAGAGCTATAGGCAGTGAGTGAGGAAGTGTCATTTATTTTTTACCATTGACTTAGAAGRGCAAATTGCAAATTACTTCACTACTGCTGCAGTTTCCATCTCTCCACAACCCACCCTTCTGAGCTATTGATATTTAATAAAACATGTGACTGCACATTGCCTGTCTTTAAATGGCCAGGATGCCGCACCATCAGACCTCATGGACTGCCAGATCACTGGTTGCTCTGCTGGTGGGATGGAAGTTCATCCCATGTCTTCCCTGAGTTGCTCTCTGCAAATCCCTGGAGATGGTATACTTGTGMCTCTCACAGAGTCAACTGACAACTGCTTCATTCTTTGGTGAAGATTTAAGGAAACACCATAAACCTTCTGGATTAAGTTTTGGAGGCAATTCCCACTATCAATTCAACCCTTCCCTCAATGTTTTTTTTATATAGACTGTTCACTGGCTTCCATCTGGCTCTCAGAAAGAATTACTATGTAAATATATGGAAGCCCAACCCAAAACATCACAATTAGCTTCACTGGAATAGAATGGAATAGAATGAAATAGAATAGAGTAACATTTGGAAGAAACCAACAATGATCATCTGGTCCGACTGTTATTATCATAAAAGAATATCATAATTAAAATAAACCATACTTCTTCATCTGATCCAGAAGGGGGAAGGGAGCCAAACTCATCCTGTAGCAAAGAGCCTGMACAAAGTCTGTGTGTCCTTACGGCTGTGCAGGCCCGGGCTTCACTATCCCTATGGAGGTGAATGATAGTCAGGAAGAATAARGGGTTTAGTTATTTGTGCCCTGCTGAGGCAGACATTCATCTTTGTACCTTCAGCCTTATTTACTTGAATGTCCCTAGGGACTTTTCAGAATAATGCAAAGGTTTATTAACTATGGTTACGTCTGTGGTCTTATGCAGTGTTAGCAATAAGAGCAAAATGCAGAGCTCCCTCTGTCCTAAGTGAAATCTAAAGGTGCAAGACAGAGACTGCACCTGTCAGCAGAGAGTTCACTACTCTTAGTRAGCAATTCTGAAAATCTAACCATACACTTTGATTCCAGTATATATGCTCACATTTTACACTGCAAAATTCAATATGTATGAGTCACCTCGCTTTTGAAAATGAGTGCTTCAGTTTTGCAYATTTGGTGCATTCTGCATTTCATAGCAGAACTTTATTACAAGATTGTTTTCCAGGSATGGTCCAGTGTTTTCAGAGATGATATATTTGCTTATGTACTTAGGAATKATTAGCTATTTTCATATTTTAGCTATAATTATTAGCTATAAYTGTACATCATGTGAGTGAAGAGTTTTTCTCAATATTTAAGATTTGTTAACCAGAATATATTAAAATTGTTATCTGATCATATGCTTCTGACAGAATTTGTTTCACACATTCTAAAACACAGCAAGCAATRAGGAAGAAAAATAGAAAGTAAACTGATGTTAAAGAATGAGTATAATGGCAATTAAAATTTAGGTATAAAATATGTAATAAGGAAAAGACTGTTAACATTATATTTATGCAAATTAAATGTTTCTAATTCTTGTCATATGTCTTTCATTTTAAAGGTTATTTGCCCTGATTCTATGATTCAAGTGTCATAAGGTCTGGCTGTAGCTGCTTTGACATAATTTATTTGACAGCTCTCYGTGTCATAAATATATAATGCAACAAGGAAAAGTATCTTCACTGTTGAATGAAAACATTAATGTGTCAATAATGTGTATGAATACTGTTTGACATTTACTAGTTTCAAAAATAAAATACACAGTATGCCTTGAAAATATGGTATTCCTATTTTTGGAAGACACTTTCTTTGTCTACAGAAACTCATAAATAAATGAAGGAGTGCAGTTCCAGAGTGCATGCTAAATAGTGCCTTCATCATTAAGACAGATTTTTAGTAAAGATCACATAATCTGTATATTTCCATATGTTTTATAATGCATTTAATTATTTTTTTTCCTTTTCTCAATTCTGTGTATTAGCATACACAAGAATAAATTTATACTGAAATAAATTTGGATATGAGACAATTTGCATGTASAAGGAGTAAAATGCCCTCATTATTTCAATTTTTTTTACATTCYTTACTAGACAGTTTGTAATGAGAAACGTTGCCTTCTGCAACCTCAAAATGTATTAAATCTTAACAATGAAAACAGAGAAATTGTCTTGCATTCAGAAGTTTTATTTCCTCACAGCTCTTACAGGAGTATGACACAGAACAGACATTTTTACCKCTATAAGAAATACAGGAATCTTGGTCCAATTTCTACAATATTACCTCTTTGCATGCACAGTCATTTGAATACGTCTTTTTTAATTGTCATTTGCATCTACAGATGGTGCAACTCATATCCAATTGGCACATACTGATGGTACTGCTTATATACAATCTGTGGCTTACCTCAGTAGAGAGGAAATAATGGGCAAACCTTCCCACCACCTCCCAATAACTGTGATGACATTAATGAAAAATGGATTGACATATCTTTAAAAATTTGGCCTTGAAAATAGCAGCTTAATTTTTCAAGCCTGGTAATTTATGAAAGCATTTGCTTCTACCCAAGTGAATGCAACCTCTAATTTTTTTTTAAAAAATGTACAGTGGTTTGGAAAATTATAAACAATTTACAGTGCCACAAACTCCTAGATGTTAGACAGCCAAACATGCTTAATGACATAGGCTATTTTCTAGAGCTATCCTTCCCAATTATACCCACACAATAGCAAGGAAACTGCCAAGTCGTCTCCCTTTGGAGTGAGATAACTGAGAAAATATCATTATTTTCATTCCCAGAATGGGCATGTAGAAGCCCAAGATCAACTCTCAYCAGCAACTTGAAAGGTAGCTTGAAGTGCTGTTGCCTTGAAAGGCCAGTTTTTAATAATGACACAGACACGGTTAAGGGGATAAAAGGGTTTTACCTCGGAATTTGGGATCTCAGGTGCACAACTTGATGGCAGAATGCACWCCCGTGTACWGSACAGRTACAAGTTTTATAGGTTTCAGGAATTAGCATATCTATCTAGGATTCCCCAATAAGAAACTTAACAAATGCAGTAATGTCCCCCTATTCTAATGAGTCTCTTCCCAGATGAGGCCAGAGCACAGTTTACACAAGATGTTCCAGAGAGAAGGCTTCACTCAAGGCTGGAGCCTCGGGTTTRAGATAGCACWGGGTACACTGACTCCTTCCTCAGGRTGTTTGATCTCTGCCCAGCAGAACTCTTAAACTAAGCTGGAATATCAGGCTCCAGGAATTACAAGCATGTGGACTAAGGGGTACAGGCAAATGCATAGAGGGTACAGAAGCGTAAAAAGGAAAAGCAAAAATCATCAGGCATCAGTGCAACTCCTTCCCTACTGGGAATCCTCTAGTTCCACAGCGGTTCTGGACAGCATGATATCCAAAACCAGAGAAATGACTGCTTGGTGGACATTTTGTTCATGTGTTTTCTAAGAAAGAGGTCTTTCATTCTGGATATGTTCAGGTGGTTRATAATTAAGAAGAACCAAGAAAGTGGCTCATGTTGTTGCTCTGACTGACTTGATGATAAATATTTCTCATTCCCATTGTACTTTGTGATGCTGTTGCAGTTTTAAAATGCAGCAACATCTTAGGAATTCTTAAAAATTCCACAGTGTTGAATTAAGCTGTACCCTGCACATKCATTTAAATCCCACAAAACATATCCCACTGATTTGGACACACTGTCTTATATTCGAGAGGCAAAATTATCTTCTCCCTTAATTGTTCCTTGCAACTAATGTAAGATTTTGGTGAAGGTGCTTTTTTTCATATTTGCTCTCATTTGTAGGCCCAGGTAGTATAGTCAAAAATGTTTGCTGCTTATTGGGTCAGGAAATGAAGTCTCTTAGTTCAGAGGTAACAGTACTGGAATTGTGAGTTGATATGATGGGTAGTTTATACTTCAGTATAAATCCAACATTTCAAAAACTCTCAGCATTTGGCTTCAAGTTCCTTTTTCTCTTCTCTCTCTCACTGTGACTGTTTTTAAAATTCAGGAAAATTAATGACTTTCTGGTTTAGCTTGGTTCCTACAGCTGAATTCTTAATTCAGAATACTTCCATAAAGGAAGACATGTTTTGAAAGGACAAGAGCAATTCTAAGTTATCAGTTAGGAAAAAAAAACAACCCACTTTTTGGGTTCTGGAGTGCTTCTAGATTTTAAAAAATATTTTGGACTATTAAATTTGCAAGCTGCAATTTATGATCATTTTAATCTTATTTTTAGCAAGATATGGGAAGCAGCTATACAGGAGAAAAARACCTAAGGGAACAAGACTGTGATAGTGTGCATGAATGAAAATGCTGAAGAGCAAAGGTGCAGCTGGGATGTCAGGCTGCATGGAGGTGCTGGATGAAGAGGAGGCAGACCACAAAAATTTGAACCAATCCCAATTGACAGGCCCTTGATCACCACACAAGGTCATTTTCTTCCAAAGTGCAGTTTGCATAACATAAGGATAATTTCCCAATGCTGTCATTGATCCTGTTAATGTGGTTTCAGCAGCATTTCAATTACTTCATATCAGTAAGAGTTGTTTTGTTTTTTTTTCTGGAGTCAGACATCTTTTTTCAGCCAAATTGCAGCATTTACAGGTGTTTCATTCATATAAGTATGAAGTACTTATATAACAAAGCTCACATTTGCCTCTTTTCATCCTCACATACTACACCTTTTTAGAAAGGCAGGTGGTCCATAAGGAGTAACAGGTGTACCCAAGTATTTCCACCTCCATGCTATGGGCAACCCTTGCAAAAACTAGGCTCAAAGGACTTCAACCATTTCTCCATCATTGTCACTCAGATACTTCACCAGCATCCAGCTGGGGTAGCTGCAGCTCCGCTCACATCAGGCATCAAAGAAAATTTAGCATAGGACTAGAAATGTACGACAAAAAGAAAGCAAGTTAAAGGGGAAACACTTTCAGTGAAAAGATCAATTTCAAACTAGGATAGAACTTTTAGAGTAACCAATCCATTAGGACTAATCAACAGTTAGCTATAGGCAATGGTGATAGAATTTCACAAGGACATGGTACCCTGTGCCTTGGTGTGTGCCTCCACTCAGTCTGTGCAGGGGAAGGCCAAACCAGGAGATGTAGCAGAGTCTTCAGTACCCWTCAGAGCTGCACTGAGATGCACTGACCCAGAGATGTGCAAGCACTACACAGAGGACAACTGTGATCCACTTAGCTCAGGGCAGCCAGGTGTCAGGGTAGGCAGAGACACCACTGCACCTTTTGTCAGGAGAAAGACATCCTTGTAGGTTTGGACAGCTGCTAAATCTGTCTTTATTAACATGGTCCTCAGCTTAGTCCATCATCCTGCCTGCCTGGGCTGTGTGAACCAAAGTGTGGTTTGAGAACTTGAATGAAATGTTGCCAGATCCCCAAAATCTTCTGTTCCCAAGTCTGTTCTTACCTCAGGAAGATATCTTTACTCTTCTATGATTTYTCCTTCCTGTGGACATTATCCTGCTGCATAGAAAAGAGGGCAACAAA